TCATTTTTGTGAGCTATTGATTTGGTATCTTCATCATAGGAATCCAGAGAATGGGATTGATTCCTGACTCCTAGACCTTTCAGTGCTTTGATCTATTTGGCACAGAGATCCGAAGCTGGGAGCTTTGGATGTTGGAATCTCTGTACATGAAGAAGTACTTTGAACTGAAGTCTGATCTTGTTTTGGACCCTTATTCTTCAGAGCCCTGGATTCACAGTCTCCAAAGGGTCCAAACCAAGTGGTAGGGTTGCTCTTAGTCTCTCGGTGTGATTACTCAGGCCCTCTTCTGGAAACATTTCTCTTTTCTCACGAGTAATAGGGCTCAGGTCCTTCCTTGTCAGAGTTGCGGTTAAGGTGTTGCTCAGATCCTAAGACCAAGACTGACAGCAGTCAGAGGTTCTAGCTAAGAGGCAAAGTTGGATAGATCTTTATGGAGGTATCCTGGTAAGTCAAGCCAATTTCCCTGATAAATAGAGAATGCTAGTTATAGTGGAGGCTGGCGGCACCCATGCTGGTGAGGCACTGTAGCCTTGCTGAATTTCAGTCTGAAATTTATTTATTTTATTTATTCAACTTATATTCCGCTATATTAGTCTGAAGACTCTCCAAGCAGATTACAATATTAAATAAAATAACAATATTTCATAAAATAACAATAATAAAAACAACCAACAATAAAACAGAGAAATATGCTTAAATTAACATTTATTCGAGGTAAAAACAGCATAAATAATATCCAAGTATAAAATCAATTATTAATATGTCTGGAGAAGAAGATTGTTTTCACCTGGCGCCAAAAAGATTGTAAAGATGGCACCAGGCAAACTACTTTTGGAGGGCCATTCCATAAACTGGGGTGGGGGGGCAGCCACTGAGAAGGCCCTCTTCTATTTGCCATCCTCTTTACTTCTCTAAAGGATGGCTCTCTCAGAAGGGCCTCTTCACCAGATCTTTGGGATCAGGTACATATATATGGGAGCAGGCATCCTGATCCCAAGCTTTACAGAAATGTACATGAGCTGTCTGTGGTGCTAAGTCAACTTTGAAGATGGGAGAGATGGGAGGTTCAGCCTCAAGCACAGAATACAACCCAGAATGGATGCACCACTTCACTGTACAGCCTCCACTTCTCCTATTTATCAGGGGCAGTCTCTGCCATTCGCTACCTCTTTATGGTAAATCAGCCTCTCTTTTTCGTCATTGGTCTTTGCCACTACAGGATGCCCTGCTTACTCCTGTATGAGTTGCTGGTAACGTTCTTCAGGATACAGCCCTTATCCCCAGCGGCTCTGGAGTTACATCTTAGAGTGAGGAATGTGTGCACCTTCACTCCAGCAAGCACTGGTGTAACTGCACGTCTGTGAACCTTAAGATATCCTGCCATATCAAGTGCCAGAATTGCTTTATTAAAATACTGGACAATTCTGAGCTGTTGTTCCATATTTAGAGCTGTTGAAAGCACATTTCAGAGCAGTTGTGTTCTAATATATGTTGAATGAAAAGAACCCACGCTGCATGATAGAGAAGTACAGACACGAGTGGAGTTGCATGTTCAGCACTCTGTAATTAGTGGGGCTGGAATCTAGGACAGCCATCCTTGAAACAATTGTGGTATTATAAGATTGTCCCTACTTTCATCTGTGCAAAGTTAGAGGGTATGGAACTGTGAGTCTTTTACTTGTATATGTAAAAATCTTTCCTTGTCCAACACATGAAATAATGAATGCGACAGAGTAAGGAAATGCTTACCAAACCCAATGGGTTTGCGGGGCTTTCAGACTGAGCTCATATTAGACAACATGGGCTTGGGACAGGTGGCTTGAGACTTTATAATATGTGACAGGTAATAGTCAGTCAGTCATAATATTTTTCTCTTAAATGGCCTTTTCCGAATATCTTGTCTGGAAAGGCTTTTCAGCCATCAAAGTTGATTAGGGAATACACTTGTCTTAAATGCAATCCTTACCCATCATTCTAGTGGATCAGTCTGTCAGAGTCGTAACGGTTCAGCATCCATTTTGACTGGTGTCGATTTCAACCACTACTTAGCTTATTAAGAAACACTTAGAACATTACCCAGGCAGCGAGGAATATAGATCTTGTGTGTGCAAACATGGGCATGTGAGTCATTTCCACACCTTTTGCCACTGCTTCTGGGTTGTGTGCAAAGTGAGATGGCCAGAAGAAAATGCCATTTTACATCATGTATATAAAATCATATTTCTTATTTGTATTCAGATATTTCCTCAAGTGTTACCTCTTTTCCAGAATGTTTGCATACAGTCCATATAATGCCTCTTGCATTATAACCTGTCTGATTGTAACACATTTTTTTGGCACAAGAGCTTCATGTGATGCTCTCTTGGGGAACCACATGTGCATGCACACTACACACATACTTCCCACAAACCTGGTAGCGATAGCACTTTCCTTGCTGCCAGCAGTAGAAGGAAAAGAGCAGTGTGTACGAAGATCTCCAGGGAAGGGAGTAGAAAGTACAAGCAGTGAGAAAATAGTTGGGAGAGCATCAAGTCACCCTTGGGAGGCACAGTAAAGGCTTTGGAGAAGTACATGCTGCTCCAAAGCTACAGGTTGTGCTCCCCTGGTTTAGCGATTAGGGCAAACATGCAATTTATGGAATTCTCCTTGTGTCTCTCTGCATTTGTGCAAGGCTACTTAATGAGTCCATTTCCTTGAAGTATGTTTTCCAAAAGTTACTTGATCAATACATGTAGAACAGTGTTTTTCTCTGTGTAGATGAAAAGATGCAGGCTAAGCTTTAACAACATACTTAGTAAGTAATACTGATCCAGTTTTAAATCAGGTTATTTTTAAAGAGAATCTTTTAAAAAAAAGATATCCATACTGGTATAGCATAAGAATGTACTAGTGCCATTTTAAAACACTGAGATAGGTTGGGGGAAAACTGATGTAAATAAAAATTAGTTATGAAATGACATTAATGTAGTATCTCTGTCCATGTATTTAATGATGGAACTAGTAGGAAGGATGGAGTTTGGTTTTTGTTCTGTTTTTCATTGTAGCACTAATGAATGTTGGTCTGATTTTAGGCAGGGAGAAAGCTAATTGTCCAATTGGGAATATGCATTGAACAACTGTTAGATTTCCTAATTAGTCTTTATAGGATTTCATTAATCTCTTCACTAGACTAAAAGAGTTACAGTCTCTGAAGCACATTTGTCCTGAGATGGAAAAGAAGCTTAGCAATGGCCACCAGATAAGAGGTACCTAGAAGAAGCACTTTCCTTGCATATTAGCTTAGCAGATTTTCTTTGACCAGCTCTTTGGAGTTCATCTGTAAAGAAGGTCACATGCCTTCCAAGAATGGGAAAGAATTTTCAAACAATGACTGCATATTGGAATGTGGAACTCTCAAACTCTGCTTATGCCTGAGTAGACATTTTTGTACAATAGAATGTACCTGATATTTGCAGACTATTTAAAATAAGAGAGGGGATTTGCTGGGAGTATCAAAATGGGCAAGTCCAAATTGGTAATTTGGTAATTCCTCCAAATTACCTAAATCTCTGACTTTTAGAGGCAAAGGAAAAGGACAAATGGAACGTGGGTTGAGAGTATGATTGCCGCAAGCATATCCACTGTAAGTCAAAATTAGCCATATTTTTTCAGTATGCTTGGTAGTACAGAATCTTTAATCCTGCTCTAGTGGGGTTGAACCTGAAGATTATCTGAGGTTAACACTTACCTGTAGACTTTTGACAGGGTGTCCTATTTTTGAAGGGAAATGCTTTCAAGTATCAAATAATGTGTCTCACACCTTACGGTGTCCCTGAGTCGACTGGCAGCTGGCAAAGATGGCAGTAGAGTTGGGCTCATCTCATTGTGATGTTCTGCAGTGCTGTGTCACCACTAACCATCCCACTTGCTAGGCCATTTAACCAGGCCAGATGGGGAACTTGATGGGAACACAATCCTCCTTTGGAGATTGCCTTTGTTGTACATTAGGAAATGAAGAGGGAAGCGATGGACAGAGTGATGAAGGTGGTAACAAAGAGGAGAGGAGAGGCTTAATGGGGAAAGAAAGCTTTTATTGATAAAATGCATGTGCGGAGAGGAAGGAGCACATATATTGGGCTGAATCCCATGCTGTCATGGCAGCCATATCAACAGTGGAACCAGGAGGGTGGGGAGATTTCCCTAAAGCACTCAGAATCTGCTGCAGACGGTCTGGAAACTCACTAGAACAGAGGGGAGGAAAGAGGGAGAAAGCCCTGCTGTACTAGTAGATCATTAGTGTCATACTGGATTTACCCTTGGTCACCAAATGGTTTAATTTCATTGCTTCGTGAGATAGGGGCTGTAGCCTACTAGAAGTTCTCAGAATGTGCTAATATTAGTATCAACTTGCAAAGTGTTCTGTAATGATAGTTACATCCAAAGATAGGAGATGCATCTGCCATTAAGCCAAAGTAAGGTAATTTGCCTTGCTCATCTGTAATTTGCCTGTGAGTAGGTATATAACAAATGATAGTCAGACTTTCCTTGTGTGTTACTTCTCAACTGCAAGCCAAACCCACTCACTGCAAATGCCTGTGTGTGACTCAGATCAGCCCAGCCATAAGTGTCTCCAAGGCCGGCATGTCCAGGGCTACTTGTTACAGTGATGGATGTTCTTTCGGGCATCAGAACTTTATAAATTAAAGCCGATAAACATCATTCCTGTTAAAAGAAACAGTAAGATGAGGTTTTGCTGAAACATTTAGTGATAAATGGGAGTTTGTGAGAATACCAAAAAGTACAACCAGGCCACTTTGAGTAGTGACACCAACTTCGCTGTGTGTTAACTGTATGCACCTTATTGTGGACCCATTTCAGCAGTGAAGGTCCATAAGCCGAACACTGATTATTAATGGATTGTTACTAGGTAGAGGTGTTATGTACCCATTTTAGGAGGCAGCAACAGCCTTTGCAGTGGTAAAATATTAATTGTAAAGCTGACTCTCTTTTCCATTTTGCAGATGACATGGAAGCCATTCCCGTCAAACAGTTTGTTAAGCATATCAGTGAACTGTATGCCAACAACCAGCATGGGTTCTCAGAAGACTTTGAGGTATGTGTTAGAAACCTTTTGCTATGAGATATGTGTTTGAAGCATTTAGGACGTAGATTTTCTCCATGGTGCAGTTTTCTTGTTGCAGTCAGGCTTCAATAAGGAGAAGGTGAACCGCAGTAGCATGATCCCATGATTAGACGCACACCTGATACAAAAGACAGGAGACTTTTAAAGCATACAGTATCCCTCTAGCATCTCTGTTCCAAAGTGGATATAGGATCGCAGCCATTGTATCAGAACCTTTCTAGCGCCTCTGCAGTAGCTGATTAGGAAGTGGGGAGAACGGAAGTCAGGGCAGGCTGCCTGAGTCCTTCAGTGAACAGTTGGGTCATGTGGGAGGGAAACGTGATCATGGATTCCTGAAATATTGCTTTCTTAAGTCAGACAGCCAAAGAGATAAGTTGCAGAAGCACTAGGCTGGCAGACTCATCATGTCCTGGTCACCCTCTTTTGAAAGATTTTGCAAGATGTGGTAGGATACAGCTTATATGTACTTTATCAAAAATACATTTTAATATGGCAGCATCACCAGTGGATGAACACGTACATACACACGCAGGTTAACATATACGTTTCCACTATGCTAGAAGTGCTTCTGAGTTCAATGTACGGTAATTCTGCATGCTGCTGTTTGTGAAAAAGTAGCTTTTGCAGTTCAGTGCATTTAAAAGCAGAGGTCACACGTTTCCTCCATCAACATCGCACATAAAGGTAAACGAAATTATTTAAAGTTGTTGTATATCTACAGTGCAGTAGTAGCAGTAGAATATGGGGAACGGAGGCCTGAACATTAGAGACACAGGGAGGCCATGAGAGCTGAAGACATTTTCGGCTTAAGCACAGGAGTGCCGACAGCTTTGCAGCTGTGCGCAGCCCGTCCGCATGTGCTCCGTGGGTTTGGGGACTCATGTGGCTTGCATAAATACCGTTTCATGCTTAATGGCAGTGGCAGACTGAGGCTCTAATCAGCAAAAACAGTTCTCCCAGAAGCCAGCATTAACCATTCTGTTCCCCTGCGTTCCTTTCAGCCTGCCCACGGTTCGGCTTTGAAAATACTGTCAGGAAGGAGGGATCCTCAAACCTTCTCAACCAAAAATAGTGTGCAGCTGTTGTGTCATCTCCACCAGGGCAAGAAGAGGGAAATAGAGCTTGGGGGTCTGACATGCTTAGTAGCCAAGTATTAAAAGTGCATGACTGAGTCATAAAAGGCAGCTGTATTTACAAAATAAGATATTGTTGCTAAATTGCTGGTTTCCTATTAAACCATTCCCCCTTTCTCCACGCAGCAGAGATCAGGCCACAACCATTGTCCTTCGTGTGGCCCTTTCAACCCTGTTCTTGCTGCTTTTTGCGTTAGCCTTTGTGATTAACTGCACTGTCTGATCATTCGAAACCCAAACCAGAATAACAGGAAAAACCCTATTGTGCCAGTCACCAGGCATTTCGTATTCATGAAGACAGCGGCTGTGCGAGGTGTTAAAAGTGATTTAGTTAAATTGACTGTTGGCTGGATGACTGAACAGGGATATTGAGGCATTTAACAATGTTGATGATATTCAGGACAAACATTTATCCTCGGGAGAGCGAAATTTGATGGGAATGATCAAATGCAATGCCGTCTTCTCAATTATTTATGAATTGAGGCCCCAGTCCTATTCATCACAGCTGGTTCTGACACCATTTAATTATTCAAAATAATCAGCTACACATCTGTAAACTTGCACTGACTTAAAGTGGGCTTTGCTTCATCTGTCTCCGAAATCACTGCCATTAACGAAACAGGGCAGCTTCTGTCTGCCTTGTGCAGCGCATGGATGCATTACCGAAATGGCTGTTCAGAATGCTTATCTCCCATGCAGCCTGTTAGTGACTCAGTAAATATTGTTTTGCCTATTAGTTGTGATTTCTGAACTTGAGTATCTCCTACTAAAGGGAAGTATAATAATTTTATAACTGCAATTTCAAAGCCAAAACCACCCTTTCTCTGCAGTGATAAACTTGAAATGAACCCATCAGGGATTTACATAGGTCATGATTTTTAAGGCCGCCCTGCAATTCAGCAAACAGCTTCTGTTTTCTGTAGGCTTGCTATGTTCCTAATTGATTCAATTCGGTATCATTCTTGGAACGCTTCTTGAAAATGAGCTGTGGGTTTATCCTTTGACCCGCAAGGTGCCAAGAGAGAGATGTCTGGATAACTCATTCTTGTCAACCCTGCTATGTTGGCTCAACTTCCTGCCACAGCAGACACTGCCCAATGAATCGGGGATTAGGATGTTCAGGACAGCAGGAGAGCTGTCCGGCAAGGAGTTATGACCGTTGCTTCAAGTACTGACAAAGCCACAACTGAACAGCATTGATATTAGCACTGCTCCCACACCCTTTCCTTGGTCCCACCAGGGCCCTGATCTCAGTCATCTGAGAAGCCTGGCTTTTTTCTCACAAGTAGGGTTCCTGGGATAGTCGACCTTGTGCTGCTACACAAGGACTGCACCTTTGGTCCTGCACTTCTGCAAGACACACCACTATCCATACTCCTGGTGATCTTGGTGGGTCTGCACCATGGAATGGTACATTGGTCCAAACCTGCAGCCTCCTTAAGTTGGATATCTTCCAGTGCGGTGGTCTTGGAGGGGTTATTGATGACTGCTGACTCATCTAAATAGGGTCAATAACGCATTCTTTCTCCACTTCGGAAGTCACTAGATGGCCATGAACGTAGATGCTTTAAAGGGTGATTGGACAAATTCATGGGAAATAAAGCTCCCAGTGTGTACAAGTCGTGATGGCTTTGGACCTGATGGCCTTATTGGCTCCTCCCAACTCCACTATTTTGTGATATTGCTTCTCTGTTGAGAAGCGACATGGTTCTGAATAGCAATCACTCTGGAATAGCAGTGGGAGAAGGCTGTAGTTCCCATAGGTACCTGATAAGCCACTAAGAGAAACAGGTTGAATGGACTACTTAGGCTTCTGGTTTGATCCAGCAAGGGTCATCTTATGCCTTGTTGAGTTCTACTTGTCTTGCCAGGAAGGTGGAACACAATTGTAGATAGCCAAGGTCAAAGTGGCTCTTGAATGCATAGCCAGAAGTGTGGCTTCTAGATTGAAAGAGGTATTACTGCCACTCCATACTACTCTGGTGCACTCACAACTGGAGTCTTGTGTTCAGTTCTTGGCTCCACATTACAGGAAGGATATAGCAAGATTGGAATTGGTGCAGCGTAGGGCCACAGGGATGATGACTGGATTGCACAGGAAGCCGTGTGAGGTGAGACTGAAGGAACTGGGTCTTTTCAGCCTGGAGAAGACTGTAAGGGGATTTGTTGGCGACATACGGGTATGTGAGGGGGTGTTACACAGAGGTGGGTAGAGACCTGTTCTCCCCTGCAGAGGAAGGCAGGACGCGCTCCAACAGAGCAAAGCTCAGGGAACCCAGGTTCCATTTGGATGCCAGGAAGCACTTCCTGACAGTCAGGACCCCGAGGGTGTGGAATGGGCTTCCACGGGAGGTCGTTGAGGCCCCATCGGTGCGGGTGTTCAAGGACAGGCTAGACATGCACATGGTGGACATGTCGTGAGTGGAGCCGGCTGGAGCCGGGGTCAGACCAGATGGCCCGGAAAACTCCTTATGACTCACTCTGTTTCTATGTTTCTAAAACAGTTCATCATGAGGTGCCAGATGAGGTTTGGTGCTATATGATCAATATGGAGTCATTCTCTCTGTGAAATGCTATCAGAACTCTTGACTGAATGGAAAAGCCCACTATAATGGCCTTATGATATTTTTGTTTGGTTGCATATACCCTGCCATAATACTCCTATTACATGAGCCATATTGCAAAAGCATATTATGAGAACCATCAATAGACACAATGCCTGCCTCTTTCAGCATTCCTTCCACTGTCAGATGAGATTTCCAGGGCATTTTATTTAAGTATCCAAGACTGGAACAATAGATCTGAGGACTGGGTTGTGTATATTTATTGTCATTTATTTAAAGTATTATTGTGCTGCTCTTTAACTCCAAAAAGTCCCCAGGATATCTTATAAACCATCAGTAAAGGACAGTCTGCATACAGGCTTATAGTCTAAAAATGCACAACAGCCAAGGAAAAAGAAAAAGAAGTGGGAAGGGAAAAGAAAAAAAATGAAAATTCCAGCACGGCACCTTGCTTTGCCTCCAAAGTTACCTGTATTTGGATCCTTTCAAACACGGCTTCCTGTGTAACAGCTTTCAGATCCCTTTGTCAAGGGGTGATAGGTCTAAATTGCTGCAAGTGGAATGGCCTCATACAGGGGTGATACGGAGCCACATCTGAGACCTTGCTCAGATTGCTGCCTCCAAGGGAGGCCCTGAGGAGAGGCAGCAAAAAGGAGGGCCTCCTCAGTGGTAGCCCCCCAGTTTTGGACTGCAATACTCATTGAGTCCTATCTGGTATCAGTGTTGCCATTTTTGGTACCAGGTTAAGACTGCCCTCTACTCCTAACCATTTAATAGCATATAATAGGACATATCCATTGTTTAAACAAGTCTAGCTTTTACTGAGATTGTTTTACTTTGTTTTAATTTTCCATGTTGGGATTTTGTTCTGTATTTTATTGTATTTGTATTTTATTGTCATCCATTCTTACTATTGTACCCATTTTAATGAATTTTTGTCACCCACCCAGTTAGAGCTGTAAATATTTTTTTATATTGTTATTATACTGTACATTTTTGTATATTGTTATTTATTTGATTGGAAGTCACCCCGAGGCTTATGCGAATGGGGCGGCATACAAGCACTCCAAATAAAATAAATAAAATAAATAAAATAAATAAATTTGGTGGTATTGAGGAGATGATGATGATGACAGAGGATAGATGATAGAGAACGAAAAAGAAGGACAATGGAAAAACGTGGCATGTGCTGTTCTGTGAATATGCAAAGCATTCAGCTCCCCTTGAGACATTTTCCCAGAAGATTCCTTCATTGTACTCACCACCGTGATGG